ATTTTACCATCACAAAAAAAAAGTATAGTTTTGTACTGACATTACAAGTTTTTTTTGGAGTACTTTTATATTTAATTCTCAAATATCAAGCTGTGATATTCTTAGCAATCTGTTATTTAACATGAATATGATGTATTTTTTTTAAAATGCCTTTGATATTGTTAATCTGAAGTAAGTTCTTTTACAAACCATTACATTTTTTCAAGCCTTGATAGAAATTAGAATGTTAGTTTTTGCAGTTTATGAGATTTCTTTCAATTAGATCATTGGAAATTATTTCTCAAGCTTTTCTTGATACTGAAGGTTGATTAAAAATGTATGCTATAATTCTGTACATTTTATAATCAGCAAAATGTCATTATTTCTTAGTATTGTTAAAAAATAAATTGTGGTTACATTAAATAAAATATGACATTAGAGGGGAAATATCTACAAGCTCAACTTTTTTACCCTCATGACAAGCATTACAACTGTATAAAATTCTTCAGAGTGTAAGTAGAAGTAGACTGCACACACAATCACAAGTGGTAGTAGTTTTAAAAAAACTTTTAGGTTTTCTCAATTTATGCGATTATTAGAATCAATGCCAAGGTTGTTTTTAACTAATGCTTTATACTGCTGACAGATTCTCCATATTCATTTCATAAGATATTTTTGTTCTCTTTGGTTGATGACTGAGTAAATATCTCAAGTAACACTAGAAACGATCATTATTTATAATGATGTCATAAATTTATGCCTTTTCTTTACAAAGTGCAATTAAATTTGATAAAATAAAAAAAATAAAAAAAATGAGTTACATTCAGGGGTCCCCAAACTACGGCCCGCGTGCCACATGAGGCCCGCGATGTAATCTCATCCGGCCCGCGGCGATCTTTTTGTCCATGGAATAAATGATTGTTAGAGGTGGCTGAGGAACTTTGCCAAGAAAATTCAAAACAATTTTGCGACTTCCAATTAACAAAGTATTAATACATAATGGCCCAAAAATAAATAATTAAGAAAATTAAGAAAAATAAATAGTATTTATTTTATATTCCATTATTATTTTTGAGAATAAGTAGATCTATTTGTGTGAAAAAAATTGCACATTTGATAAAAATGTACTTTTATCTAAAAAGAAGATGTAACATTTAATTACTTTAACTTTTAAAGTTATTGTAATAATTAAATTAAATTAGTTTCTTGAATTTTTTTATTAAAAATGTAAAAACTTAAAGTTGAATAAAAGCTGTAAGTGCCTAAAAAAAGAAAAAAAGTTTATACATTTTGAATCGTAGAACCCCCCCCCCCCCTCTTCGGTCGTCAAATATCGACGTACCCATTTCCTCGTCCCACTCCACTCTTCCTCATCGCCCACCTCACCCCTCCACCACAATGTTGACTTCTTCAAACTTACAGTTCAATAACCAGTTACGTGTACCTCTTAAGGGATATACGGATATAATAAAGTCGGTAATGTGTATCATTAGACCCAAAGATTGAAAGGAGAATATAGTGTCCACTAAGAAAACTAAGTACATCTAGTATGATTTATTTTAATGATTTTCGTGTAACCAACACATAAAAATAACGCATGAACTTATTTACCATTGATTTTTGTAGTGGGGAAATGTGTTTCAAATCTTATGGTATACACCGGTTCGATGCGTTTTTTAATGTTAGACAACAATAACATTAATACATCGAAAGGCCCTTTTATGTCAATGAACTCCATTTCTGTTTACTTATCGCTCGCTTACTAAGAGGAGTTACTTTTCTTAAGGGTCGTTCATAAATGATGCCACAAATCTAAAGGGAGAGGGTTCGACTTTAGTGACAATGTGAGACGAGGGGAGGGGGGGGGGGGGGGGCGGGGGAGGATACAAAAAAAAATTAATCATACACTTTAACTAATAATATTAGAAGCTGAGTTGTAGCGTAGGCTTTAATACACGTTCTTAAAAGAGACTTCATTTTTTAAATCACAGTAAAAATGCATGTCTTCGTGCATGTTGCTGCTTCGAATCATTCTAAAGGTTCGATGTTTGGCATTTATAGCTTGAGCATTTCCCAAAAAATTAGAATCATCCCCCCCCCCCCAATGCTATGATGTGACGGAGTGGCCTTGCGGTAAAGAGAGTTTTTTTTTTACTTTCTCGAATACAGAATATATATGAAGTTTTGTAATCGTGCACAAGAATCACATGAAATTGTGACGGGTTTCACCGTTTTAGTTCTCAGTAGTTCATCATATACGGAATATAGGGGACTTATTTTAATCGGACAAAAATTCCAAATCCAGATTTATCAAAATTTCGGCGTTTTACGCGTAATCGTGTCGGAAAAACTGGGCTTTGCAATTATGTCCGTGTGTATATGTGCCAACAACACGATAACTTGAGTACCGTTACAGCTAGATTGATGAAATTTCATATATAAGTATTATATCAAATTTGTAGTTATGTATCAAGTTTTGAGTTGCTTTCCCCGTAGTGTTATATCAGAATATTCGAGAAAGTTTAGGAGAGATCACTCCCGCTTTATTTTTTAAATTTTCTTTAGCTGCTTCCCTTCATAAAAATAAGGGGGAGTAAACCATCAACAATGCTCCTTCAGTCCTAAAAATCAAGATATATAGGTATTTGCAAAACGAATTTGCAAATTAGTGAAAATTGTGTTATATAACAAAATTACTTAACAGATTGCAGAGGATTTGATTAATTTTTTAAGGTTGTATTATTTTATAATAATTATTATTTGACGTTTAAAGACTTTAAGAATTTTAAATGATTTTTTTATAACTTGCAGGGTTTTTTTTACTCTGCCTAATATTTTTCGTTTCCAGGATAAACTATGTTATGTGGTTCATACCAAAAAAAATATAAATAAATAAAAAAAATTTAAAAAAATTAAAAATCTGGTTTTCATACTTTTAGGGAACTTTATCTAAAGTTGGTCTTGCCGGGACGTTGAGCAAAATCTAAATGCACCGAGTCCTCATCACTATGCACTAGAAATGGACTATGCAACAATCACAAAAGTCAACAATGGGGTTGCGCCCATTTTTGCTCCCTCTAGGTCGAGAGATCCGGAGAGGAGCCACCCGGACTACGGTTTGGGTGGCTTAATGAAAACTTGGGCCCCCACCCTTTGCAGCCAAGTCAACAACAGCAATCCTCGATCTACCACAGGAAGAATGTCCAGACCTTTATCCAGCTGAAACACCTACTATGCAAGTACTCATCACTTCAAGAGGTCAACCAAACCTGCTAGGGCATATAATAAGACAGCTTATCAGCAATCATCAAATTTTTCTACTCAATTATGGCAGAGCTGACACCTGGTACTTCTCCTCACAAGCTTTCGACGTCACCACAATGCACAACACATGCAAAACACACGGTCCATATACATTGCAATTCTCACTTCACGAAAACGACAAAATCAATGGGACCCTCAGATGGGTACTACCTACACTTAACAATGCTACACCCATACAAGCACTACGTCCTTATAGTAACAAAGAACCATCCATAAACACAATCCCACACACCAATAACCGCAGCTTCTCTGTCTACACCGATAATCCAACAACTATCCCACACTACATCCAAATAAACTACAAAAACAAATCACTCACTATCCTAATCGCAATCGCCGGGAGAAGACAAGCGTGTCAAATCTGTTCCTCCACCCTACACTGGACGAACCATTGCCAACAAACACCTTCAGACACACCACTGCAAGAAGACCCAACAGAACAATCAACAACGGAAGCAACAACAAGGAAGGCAACCCCTATGGAAACAGAAACAAAAGTAAAAAGGAAGAACGAAGACATTCCAGCCACACTGCAAGAAAGAAAAACTAAATCGGCCAAAACAACTTTAGAAACGACTGCAACACGTCCACCAAACACTAAAGAAACCCAGCCGCAACAAGAAACTACCACCGCATCAACCCAAGTCTCCAAACCTTTAACTCCTGGAAAAGACAAGAGCTGCGGTTATTGCTTTGACAGTTTCAGTACTGCCAGCGAGTGTAAAACACATATAAAAACTTGCCATCCTGATACGAGTAAATGCCCGCATTGTAACAATCTGATCAAAAGCAGAGGGGCAATAAAGCACCACGTACTAAAACAGCCAGACACCGCCGTCTTCCAATGTGGATACTGCCTAACAAGTCTATACACCAAATACGACATAGAAAAACACCTCAACGACCAGCACCCCGACAACGACCACTGCCATAATCAAATATTCTAGATCCTCAACCCAGACAGATCCATTTCTTACATAACCCTCAAGGCCAACCTTGTGTAAAGTGTGGGTATCAATATAAAACATCATCATTTCCGGTTCGTGCCCAAGTCACACTGGACAGATGAAGTAGAGTTTATCTGATTCAGAAACCTTGGTATATGAAGCACTATTCAAAGACGTCTTTTTACCCTAATATGAAGGCTAAAATATAGCAAACATGTAATTCTCTATTAGCAAAGGATTTTATTTATTTTTTATTTGCGGTCATGCTTGAACTCTTGGTCTGTAGAATTGGTTGTTAAAATTATCATTTGAGAAATTAATGTTAATTTATTTATAAAAGCTGTAATTACATTTTAATGTGTGGTATACTGAAACATTGTGTGTCTATCCTACTTGTTTATCAAAGACGGGCGGAAAACAGAGTTTCTTTCAGACATCTCTTCGAGCTGAGCCCCTCCCCCCCCCCCCCACCCTCCCAGAAAGAAAGAAAATTTCTACAGGAAATGCATACTTTACCAAAGTCCGCCCCCCCCCCCCCCACAAGTGTCTTCCAGGAGAAAAAAAAGTGAAGAGAAATACTGGCGGAATAAGGGGGGGGGGGGCAGAGATGGAAGGAACTGCTAGGCCTATGTGTGGTCAGACTTTGAATGTTGTTTCAGATAGCAGTTTTAAAAGTTTAAAAATAGCTTTTTTAAAGATTAGACTGTTTATTTTTATATATAGCCCAGTTACGTTAGTATAGCATTGTGTCCCAAGTCAGCTTGCTTTAGTCACACAGACCAAACACCGACTACAATGAAGGCTGTGGTGTTGCTTGTTCTGTTGGCGATATCGTTTGGTAATCACAGCTGTTTAATCTTTATTTTTATTTGGTTTAAATAATACATCATTTTGATGATATACATACATTGAAATAAATTAAATTACATATAGTATTTATATGTGAGCATGTTTAAAAACCAATGTGTTATACAGTTGCATAGCTATAGAAAAATGTAAACTCTTTGCGACTAAATTTTAGCGACAAGCTTTCACTTGCCTTAAAATCGCGTAGCTAAATAAAACAATATAATAGTAGAAGGTAGAGGTAGGTTTGGACATGTTTATTTCAGTCCTGTTGTCGGGGGCTCCGAGGGATGGTTTGACCTTATTACAGGAGCTCGGGGTGTGTCAGGACGTGTGTAGTCCCGACCCAGCTGATACGTCACTTCCTAAATGTGGCCCTGGGATGATGTGTACCAACATACCCGGATGTGGTCACACCTGCATGGTCTACAACTGGAGTAAGATTAATTAGGCGTCGTTTTTAATGAAGAAATATGGGAGTCGGGAATTCGACCGGAGTTAAAAATTTATTTAGAAACTGTGTTTCTTTTAGACTTTTTTTCTCCGTGGAGGCATTTGATATTTACGTGTGGGCCGATTAAATTTTCCGGGTGGGGGGAGAGGGTTCGTTAACGGGGTTAGGCTTTGAAGGAACTCTGTTTAGGAATATGATTTATAGAGTGCAAAGATTTAGATACGTTACTCATGGTCTAAAGTTCACAGTACATGAAAATAGCATTATTTATATTTAAACACATTTTGCATTCAAATCTACAGTGCTTGGATAGTTGTGTGAGCAAAAAAATTATGTGTGAGCAACTGAATCTTGTCACACGATTCAAGATCACAGGCAAGTTTGGAAATCAATGTTAGACCTTTGGTTTACACAATACGAACAATTCAAAATTAAATTTGCTTTTACTTGAGATGTAGTTTGTTGTTTAATTAAACGATTAGGTGTGTTGAAGATATGATTGATGAAAACATTTGAATAGACACTTGTCCGAATGCGACAAATGCCCAAATAGACAAATGCTGTGTGTCCGATAAAATATTAAAATTATAGAAGAAATTCTTAATAAATAAGATGTTGACGGTTCAAAGCGTGATAAATTGTCTGCACTTTCATACCGATGTTTCCTTGCCTCTGAATTCAGTGAACTTAATGTAGTAAATATCGATAATTACATCCCAAATGTTAAACACCGAAAAAGTGGTGTAATTTAAACAGGAATATACAAGTTTTGTGAACTGACGCCAAGACAATTATAGTGAGGTTATTTTTAGTTTCACGGCATGGATAGTAAATAGATAAAATAATTGTATCTTTAAAGTTCAATCGTGATCTCATTCTATGATAAGAAAGTGTTAGGCCTGTGTAAAAATATCAAGATTTCTTGCAAAATTCCTATCTTATCCATAAGGCCGACATAGTGTAGCGTGGTGTCAACACAGCTTCGCTGGCTAAAATATCATTTCCGGCTCGTGTTCAAGACATTTGGGGCAGGTAAAGTAGAGTGTATCTGCATCAGAGAATTTTGAATATGAAACATAGTGTGAACAGATTTATTTCAACGGCTCTGTTAGTGTATCTGCATCAGAGAATTTTGAATATGAAACATAGTGTGAACAGATTTATTTCAACGGCTCTGTTAGTAAAATAATGTTTTTTCATATGAGGTTACGCTTTAACTCCCGGTTTGTAGGCTTGAATTAATGAGATCCTTCAGAGAAAGTGGAACTGGATTGGCCTCACACTCAATAAACCTGTATTTTGCATAACAAGACAGGCCCTCACCTGGAATCCAAAGGGCAGGAGGAGGAGAGGCAGACCAAGAAAGACCTGGAGACGTGACCTGGAAGAAGACACCACGAAGATTAGATACACCTGGAGAGACTAACCCAGGACAGAGACGTCTGGAAAGCTCTTGTCCTCGGCCTATGTCCCAGGAGGGGTAACAGGCAAACCTAACCTAACCTACCATAGGCTTGTGGGCTTAGGTCCGGGTCTCCAAACTACGGCCCGCGGGCCAGATGCGTCCCGCGATGTCCTCTCATCCGGCCCGCTGCGGTCTTTTTGTCCACGGAAAATTCAAAACAATTTGAAAATGTAGCTTTGGCTGCAAATACTATTATCCGCCGTGTTGCAGACATTGGTGAAAACATCGAGACTCAAATAGCGAAAAATGCAAGCATTTTTTAAATTGTAATGGATGAGTCGCTGGACAGCTGATCCACATCTCAACTGATTATGTTAATTAGAGGTGTGGATGAAGACATGAACATAACACAAGAGCAGGCTTCCCTATATAGAATGTATGACACTGTTACCGGAGAGAATATAGATAGTTCAGAGACATGTTAAAAGATAGAAACACAGAATCGCAAGATTTACCATATTTCACAGCAGTAAGATGGCTAATTTGCGAGAAATTTTTCTGAGCAGAGTATTTAAGTTAAGAAAGGAAATAGGTGACTTCCTTGAAAGTTAAGGCAAGCCACAAGCTGATATACTAACTGTCTGTTGAAGAGTGGATATAGAAATTGACCTCTGCTGCAAACATGACTAGTCATTTAAATTTTCTGAGCCTAAAACTACAAGAGATGGAAATTTAGTTTCTGATCTATACACCCACCAAGGCTTTCAGATCCAAACTTGTCATGTTTTTGGAACAAGTACAAGCCAAAAACTTGACGCACTCTCAGTAGTGCACGGTCTTTACGGCTGAAGCAACAACTGAGTTCCGCGCGTCATTTGCATACGAGATCATCAAAGACCTCCAGCTGCAGTTTCAGTAGCGGTTTTCTGACTTGGATTCAAAGGCAGAAAAAGTGAGACTGTTTCAGAACCCATTTGAAGCAAATGTGGCCAGTTGCAAAGATGAACTGCAGCTGGAGGGCATTAGAGGCATGTTCAAAGAAGGGCGGGTGGGTTTTTTATACGTTTTTGCAAAAGGAAGATTTTCCTGATATTAAAACGTTTGCATCAAAGTACCTTTCAAATTTTGGAACAAGATACTTGTGTGAACAAATATTTTCAAGATTGAAATACGTGAAGAATAATTTGAGATCAAACTTCGACCTCGAGTGTGTTGTTGGTCCACTCACAGTGTTTCTTTCACACTTTTTTCTCGTGGGGGTCACTTGAAATTTGTATATATTTCTATATAAATTATATTTCGTTAAGGGGGGTGGGGGCGGTACACGTTCTTCGGGTGTGGGGGGGTGGTTACCACTCCGAAGAGATGTCTTGAAGAAACTCTGCCCCCTCCCCCCCCCCCCAACTGATATTTGATAGTTAATGCGGCCCTCGGGCTGAAAAGTTTGGAGACCCTTGGCTTAGATAATTAAAATTATCATTTGAGATATAAAGATATTTATTTTGAAAAGCTCCTACGAAATTTGAGTTAATAATTATCTATCCCACCTTTTTTTAGTCTTCTTTTCTTCTTCGTTCTTAATTATTAGTGTTGAGGGGGATCGAGATTTATCTGCCAGTGGGTTTGAACTCGAGACTTTGTTCGAATTTATTAACCATGAGCTTTTTGCCGACTCGACCACGCCTCCAACACAATTAAGCGTTACGTGTCAACTGGTTATGCGCCATTGAGGCCATTGACTCCGATTTCAGCCTGCTTTTCTTTTTGGATTTGCTTCCATAGCCTTTGTCCAACCAAGAACAATCTACAAGGCAGCAGTTGTTTAATTTTGGAGTTGTCTCTCTTAGAAGAGTGGCTGTCCCCAGCTAACGAGCCTCATCTGCCCGAGGGATCGATCTTTTTTTTAGTAAACACGGTAAATTGATAGGGGGAAACGGGGGGAGGGGGAGGAGCAGCTAGGCCTATGACCCAGGACATTGTATGGTCAAGCTTTTAGTGTTGTTTTAGATAGCAGTTTTACAAGTTTTAAATTAGCTTATTTTAAAGATTAGACTTATTTTTTTTTAAAATAGCCCAGTCACGTTAGTATAGCATTGTGTACCAAGTCAGCTTGTTTTAGTCACATAGACCGAACACCGACTACAATGAAAGCTGTAGTGTTGCTGGTTCTGTTGGCGATATCGTTTGGTAATCACAACTGTTTGATCTTTATTTTTATTAGGTCTAAATAATACATTCTTTTGATTTGGTACACAGATCTACATTGACATTAAACCCAAGTAAGTTAAATTACATATAGTATTTATATTTGAAAATGTTTTAAAAATTAATATATCATACACTAGCGTAGCTACGGAAAAATGTAAAACCCTTTGCGACTAAATAAATTTTAGCGAAAATTCATCAGCTCACATATAGTCAGTGGCGTAGCGAGGTCGGGTGTCACCCGGTGCGGCACTTAATGGTGGCGCAGCGACCCTTCCCGGGGACAAATTTTCGATTTGCACCCCCCCCCCCCCCGAGCTTTCGATTTGCACCCCCCCCCTCAAAGTTTTCTCTATATGCTTTGCTATTTTTTGCCTTGGTGTCACCCCCGTAATTGGTGTCGCCCGGTGTGATCCGCCCCCCCCCCCCCCGTTGCTACGCCTCTGCATATAGTCATCCTGTGTGGGGGGCTTTAGACCTTACAAGAACATACACACTATACAATCATGTTTACAAATAAAACACTAGTATTGTAGAAGCTGTTAGAGCGTTTTGACACATTTACTTCAGTCCTTTTGTCGGGAGTTCCGAGGGATCTATTGACCTTACAAGAACATGTATACTATACAATCATGTTTACACATAAAGCACTAGTATTGTAGAAGAAGTTAGAGCAATTTTGACATGTTTATTTCAGTCCTGTTGTCGGCGGCTCCGAGGGACCTTTTGACCTTATTACAGGAGCTCGGGGTCTGTCACGACACGTGTAGTCCCGACCCAGCTGATACGTCACTTCCTAAATGTGTCGCTGGCATGCAGTGCACGTACACTCCGGACTGCGGGCACAGTTGTACCTACATCAGCTGGGGTAGGATTAATTAGGTGTTGTTTTCAGAGTTTCTTCCAGGCATCTTCCAGCCCCCCCCACACCCCCCCCCCCCGAAGAAGTCTACCGCCCCCCCCCCCGAACGAATGAAAATTATATAGAAAATATATACTTTTAACAGTGTCCGCCCCCCCCCCCCCAGAAAATTTCAAGTGCACCCCACCCCCCCCCCCACCCCCGGGGAGAAAAGTCTGGAAGAAACACTGGTTGTTTTAAATAAAGTAATCTGTTGATCGGGAAGTTAACTGATGTTGATTAATGTATTTAAGAAACAGACCTTATATTCAAGGCAATATATGAAAATAGCATCAGTTATATTTAAACGATGTTTGTATTCAACTCTACAGTGTTTGGATGATTGTATTAGCAACTGATTCAAGATCATAGACAGGTTTTGAAATCCATGTTCGACTATTTGTGAACAAAACCTTCAGCTATAAACAAGAATAACTCTAAATTAAACTCGATTTTAATGGAGAAAGATTTTGTTGTTCACTTAAAACGATTAGGTATGTTGATGATGTAATTAAAGAAAAATTTACAGTTCTTTCCGTATGACCTCTATATACAAACTGGTACATATATAAAATAATATTTGACACGTAGAAATGTGTGGTCAAACAGTCACTCGAAGTAGACATTTAAATAATGTATGTTTAAAGTTTAAATCACAAGTTACTCTCGCCTAGTTATTATTGAAGGTTTCAAGAAAGTAAATGTTTTCGGTATTAATTTCGTTACAAATTTTGCATTTAAAAATCGCGCCTGTTTCCATTATGTCATTAAATAGCCCAGTGACGTATTGGAGTAAACATCTATTCGCGCACACATAATAATAAGCCGTAATCTAATATAAATAGTTTAAATATAATTCAAACTGAAATAATTATTCTTTTAGCCTAGTGTGCTCAATTTTCGTATCATTCGTATTTTCAAATAATTGGAAAATTAGTAGGTAAAGATGTAATTATACTTTATACACACAGCTGACGTAATAGAATACAATTAGAATACAACGCAGTGGTTATAGAAGACTGTATACTCTATAAAACACGCAGTGGTCGATTTTCGACCATTTTTCGACCACCACTAAAAATATACTAATGCAATGATTACAGAAGTATAATCTATAAACAAAACTTCGTTGTCGATTTATGGCCAGTTTGCAACAACACGTAAGAGATAAATATGCGAGCTTATGAATGATTAATTGCCAAAGCACAATATAAAAATGTAAAATCATTAAATCCAACATCTATCTATATATATAATTCTCTTCTGGGATCAGTTAGAAAACAAGCTGCAAGCACCTCCTTGCAGTCCCCTCTCTTTCTCTCTATCACTACCAACCCCACCCCACCCCCACATGATCTGGTGAGCGGTGTTCACTCTGTTTACATTTTACAATCATAGAGACGGGTTTGGTGACGGCTATTAGGGGCAGATAATTTAGTTTGAAACGATTTTAAACTTAGAGGAGGTAACTAAGAGGAGGCTGCTTTCACGTGGGAGGGGGGGGGGGGGGGTTAGTGTTTTTAAGCAAATATTTTCAATGGCAGCATTGGTACTGTCGAATTCACAAATTATAAATTACTGAAAAGTAGAAACAAACAACTAAATAGCGGCGTATGATACGCCGCGGGTCAGCTCGTATCAAATAAACTGACAATTTACCCATCCCTATCCAACCAATCCTATCTTCTAACCTCCCTTACTCTGTTTTTTTCAAAATTAACAATACCGCTTGGTATTGTCATACTTATACGTAAGGCCTCGTGGCCGTGCGTTAGAGCAAATAACTTCTACCCCGAAAGGTTCGAGTTCTGATCTCGCTCTGGGTATCTGAAGTTATTATAGGGCTAACAACACACATAGAAGTTGGTCAGAGAAACAGATGAATTCTACTTAATCTGCTTTGCTGACTGTTAAATCCAGTCATTAGGTCTCAATGTTTTCTCTAGAATCTTTTATTTTGTGTCCGTAAACTTTTGGTATGTAGGAGAATGAAACTAATCTAAATAACAGCCAGCTTCATTTTTCTCTTTGTTTTTCTATTTCGTTTTGTTATCTAAAGTGACATTTTAAAATACCGATCAGGATACCAGGCCCTCGACCCCAGAGGCGTAGCTAGGGGAGGGCAGGTGTGGCTGTCGCCGCGGGCGCCAACCTTGGTAGCGGGGGGGGGGGGGTAGCCGAACGGGAAAGGAAAAAAAATAAAACGCTCCTTTTGAGCTGCAGTACTAAATTATATACAACGAGCCGACCCGCGGCATATCATACGCCGCTATTTAGTTGTTTTATTTTCTACTTTTCAGTAATTTATAATTTGTGAATTTGACAGTACCAATGCTGCCACTGAAAATATTTGCCTTAAAACACTATCAGTAGGTCTTTAAAGACAATCATTTCCCTCAACCCCTACCCTACACCCCCACCCCCGTGAAAGCAGCCTCCTCTTAGTAACCTTCCTTAAGCTTAAAATCGTTTAAAACTAAATTATCTGCCCCTAGTAGCCGTCCCTAAACCCGGCTCTACGATTGTAAATATTTAGCGTGAACTAAAGCTCACCAGAACATGAAGGGGTGGGGTGGTAGGGAGCGCGCTTACAGCTTGTTTTCTAGCGTCTCCAAGAAGAGAATTATATATGTATATATATATTTAAGTTAAGGAAATTGGCCGTTACTGGGTTTTACAGGCTTATGTAACTTTTTGGTTTCTATGTCAATCCTGTGACACCAACATAAAAACCGTTATAAAGTGAATGACTAATAACATCGCCCGCGAACTTTCCTAAGGGAGGCTCTTTTTCACCAATAAATATACAAATGAGTGGTAGGGCGAAAAGTTTATAGTTTGCTCCGGGCGCCGCAATCGGTCTCTTCGCCTCTGTGTGACCCAGAGACTGGCGCTCACGAAATAATATTATGTACAGAACACGGCATGTTTCAAACAGTAAATATGATATAGTGACATTAAACAACAATAAGAAAAGTGAGATAATATTAAGCTATGGAATGGAAGCTGTATAACTTCTATTGTAAACTACGAACATATTTGCAAACAATACAGTAAACCAGTGGCGTAGCGAGGTCGGGTGCCACCCGGTGCGGCACTTAATGGTGTCACCCCCCAGAGGCGTAACGACCCTTCCCGGGGAAAACTTTAAATTTTCGATTTACACCCCCCCCCCCTCAAACTTTCGATTTGCTCCTCTTAAAAGACTATTTAACACTCGAATTGATCACTTAATTAAGTGGAATTATCATTTTTCTCTATATATTTTGCTATTTCTTGCCTTGGTGTCACCCCCTAAATAATGTCACCCGGTGCGGTCCGCACCCCCGCCCCCACCCCCCGCCTCGCTACGCCGCTGCAGTAAACTAAGGGTACAAGAGTATTTAAATGAAGATAGTTTATTTGTAAGGATTTAATGGACAAGGCGATTAGCTGATGTGGTATTGTGAGTATGATTTGTTTGTTGTGGCTGATCATATGGCTACTTGGTGGGGGAATATCAACAGCTGTTGCTCTCTACAGCACTCAAGCTGGGGCCAGCTGTAGAGGTAAACAGCTGCAGCCGTGTGCTTGTCAGGTGTTGCCTTGAGGTGATGCACAGAGTCGGCTGCATCGGGCGGCACAGGTAAGGGGGGGGCAGTAAGAGGGGTGGCCACATAAAGCGGCACAGTAATTTTTAAATAGAGGCGGCCAAATCAGCCGCCCAGTAAGAGGGGGGGGGCAATAAGGGGGGCGGCCAAATCAGCCGCCCAGTAAGAGGGGGGGGGGCAGTAAGGGGGGCGGCCAAATCAGCCGCCCAGTAAGAGGGGGGGGGGCAGTAAGGGGGGCGGCCAAATCAGCCGCCCAGTAAGAGGGGGGGGGGGGCAGTAAGGGGGGCGGCCAAATCAGCCGCCAAGTAAGAGGGGGGGGGCAGTAAGGGGGGCGGCCAAACTAGCCGCCCAGCAAGAGGGGGGGGGGGGCAGTAAGGGGGGGGGCGGCCACCAGGCGGCACAGTAATTTTTAAAAAGAGGCGGCCAAATTAGCCGCCCAGCAAGAGGGGGGGGGGGAAGTAAGGGGGGCGGCCACCAGGCGGCACAGTAATTTTTAAAAAGAGGCGGCCAAATTAGCCGCCCAGCAAGAGAGGGGGGGCAGTAAGGGGGGCGGCCAAATCAGCCGCCCAGTAAGAGGGGCTGCCTGAAGCAATAAATTAAAACTTTTATCTAACACAACGTGCGGAAATAAGCGAGAGTTAGCTCTTCCCTAACTCTCGCGATGTATGTTCATAACAGTTAGCGCTGGGTTAACACTTTCAGTCGGCTTTCGAGAAACAGGACATAAACACTTCTACCGGAAATTTAATGAAGTTCTACTTCCGGTTTCCGTAAATCGCTCAAAAGTTGGTGCAGCCACGGGATATGATCTAATACTTGTATATGACATTTCTTCCATAAACCTGAGTGGGTGCTGAAGTTATCGTATTAACGCGTACACACATACACACACACACGCACACACACATAAGCACATACACTTATATCGAGAGAGTTGTACAACTGAGTTGTTTTTGTTTCTTTTTGTTTCTTTTGTTTTGCTTTTTTTGGGCGTAAAATGCAGTGATCTTTGTCAAAATCTCGATTTTAATTTTACTTCCTTGTATAAAGAGTGTGGGGTAGGCATTGTAATGGTACGCAAAAAAATATATTTTAACAGTTTTTACAGTTGTACACCTCCCCACTTTATCGTATATGGATTAATATTTAATTAAGATTGTACGCTACATATTCGAATAAATAATAAAAACATTGTACGCTTCTGTAAAAATAGTTAAAATTTAATGTAGGCTTTATGTTTCTTTAAGGTAGCATATATCTTGTAGTTAATAATTGTCATTTTTTACTATTTTAAATAAATAAACAATAGCCGAAGTAACGTTTTAGGTTTTAAATTCTGTCTGTCTGTGTTTGTTACGTAAACAAAATTTTAAATATTAGTATGAGTGCAGGTTTTTAAATGATTTTCGATAACGGTAAGTAGAAATGTATTGATTCCGTGGGGAAAAGATAACTTGAGAACTGTTTCAGTTAGGCGAAATTTCGAATATAAGTATAAAATGTTATTTTTGGGCTACTCTTAAACGTTGAGTGACCTCCGATATTAGAAAGTGGTACTTTAGTAACTTTCCGGGCAGAGGCGTAGCGAGGGGGGGGGGCGGGGGGTGCGTACCGCACCGGGTGACACCATTTAGGGGGGTGACACCAAGGCAAAAAAACAGTAAAATGTATAGAGAAAAATTTGAGGGGGGGGGGGGTGCAAATCGAAAGTTTGAGGGGGGGGGTGCAAATGGAAAATTGAAAGTTTGTCCCCGGGAAGAATCGCTACGCCTCTGAGGCTGTTACACCATTAAGCGCCGCACCGGGTGACACCCGACCTCGCTACGCCACTGTTTCCGGGTTCTAAATTAGAGAAACCATTAGTACCGTTAAAAGTAGGTGAAACAAATG